TCCTTGAAACCTGGCAGGCTTCATAGCCTCAGCAGGGGCTGCCATGCCTGCTGTTTTCACTGCACTCCACCATAACAAATGTACATGACAAGAGTTTTGCTTGTCAGCACCTTGAGGTGCAGTTTCCCAGCACCTATCTCTTTGAAACACATCACAAGTTTTGCTCTAAGCATTTTGAGGTGCAGTTTCCCAGAAACCCCTGCACCTATCTCCTTGAACTTTGGCAGGCTTCATGCCCTCAGAAGGGGCTACCATTCCTCCAATTGTTATCAGAATCAGGCAGGAAATGACAAAGTTATAGGCATTTTAGTAATTCCCCATTATAACCTATGGCCGAAACACCGAAACAGCATTCAAACTCGAAACAGTTTTAGCTGAAACGAAATGAAACAGCAATTCGAAATGCTGAAACTAATTGCTGTCCTGTAAAAACAATGAATCGCAAACTGAAACAAAACATGGGCCTTTCACACAGCCCTGAAAGCTACCACTTCCAGTAATGTGACTCCCCAGCCTCTCACAGGGATTTCCCCTTTGTTTAATGGCCAATCTGCATTCCTCTATTGCAACCCCACACAGAAACTTTCCAGCCTTTGCCTCCTGGCTGCCTGGCCCTTAGCTGCCTATTGCAATGCAGCTAGCTTTTGCCCAGCTGCCTGCCCACACTGCAAGGTTGACCTGCTTCACTTTCCCCTTAAAGTAACAGGAGCCTCTGGCTCTCTGTTGCAGGGCCTAGAATTGTCATCTCTTGCTCTCTGACCAAGTGCTAAAACAGGGGGGACCCTTTGTCTTGTTCTCTGACATTTAACACCTACTAGTCTTGGTTTTTTCTATGTCTAAAATTTTGGAACTTGCTCAGTGGGCATTCATAGACTTAAACACACAGAGGTGTGCAAAAGTACACAAAAAGGCAGCTATGTAGTTGTGTACATGCCATTTAGGCCCATAAAGGGGAATAGGACTTGGCCCTTAGAGGGCACATCTACATGAGATACTTCATGCCCATTGGACTAGTTCTACTTTGGACTAGCATGGCTAGCAAAAACCATGCTAATGCACTATTGTGCAGTAGCTTAGTCCAATGGGCATTAAGCATCGACTAAAAAGCATTCATCTGCGCTAATGTGCAATATCTTTAGTCCAATGTGTATTAAACATCACCTAAAAAGTGTTCATCTGCACTAATGTACAGTAGTGCTGCTTATGGCGCATTAACTTAGTATCTGTGCATTAAAGAACGTGTAGACGTGCCCAGAGTAAGCTTTTTATTGCTACTAGAAACTAAGATACCATGGCATACGGGAAACAACTAATTAAACTTTTTATTGCTACTAGAAACTAAGATACCATGGCTACAACTAAGATACCATGGCATACGGGAAAACTGTGCACAGCTACTGCTTGTAAAGAAACATACTTCAATCTCTATCAGTTTTTTTTTTACCAGAACTAACAAATTGAGAAAAGATTATGTCAAAACTACTTAAGAATATAAATTTATGTTTCCAAAAGAAACAGGTGATTTAGGGTCCAAATTCGACATACTTTGCAGAGCACCCAAAAAAGAGAGGCATCAAAGATTGCTAATTGAATTCAGAATTTTGGGCTGCAATGTTCTCTGTTGTAATAATCATATTTCTCTTTCCATCAATGGTTTGTCAAAAAATAAAGGTGAAATAAAGAGGATAAAATTCTGGCTCAAGTCAGGTTAATGTCAAAAGTCCCATTGATTTCAGTGGGGCCAGGATTTCACCTTGAATATATCTTTGAATATTTACAAAGGTATGCAGCCTGGCTGTTCACTGGTAAAAGTAGTGCTAAACAAATAATGCCTTTCTAGAGTAGGAAAACAAGAAAATTCTTCTGCATTTTCCCACTTTTAAATGGGACTATAACTGTACATTTAGAATTCATTATGACGATCAGCTCAGAAGCCCTTCCTTCTGTCTCTGTCAACAGCAAAGATGCTTACATTGTTCATAACTATATTCTGTACACAAAGCCCTGATTTTGTTGTATATTATGAATAAATAAATTATTGCTTCATAGTTACAGTTCAAACTGGCTTCTCATTATGACCCTGATTTCTCCTCCCCTTCCTAACTTGAGCCAAATGGAAGTAATATATAATAAAATTTAAATAATCCATGTGTTTTCACCTGATACAACTTGCAAGGGTTACATGTTTTATGTACTTTCTCTTTTAATAACAGATATTGGTGTTTTTTTAACGCTATCTGTATCTGTTTATGCTTACTAAATATGTTTCTAAAGGAATCATAATAAAATCTTGTAGGGCAGCATAAATCCACCTTGGAGGAAGATGAAATAAAAATGCCTGTGTTTGAATCTTACAAGGAAAAGCTTATTAATGTCAAACCTTGAACTGCAGCAAATATCAATGCTGATGCAACCCAATTATACTTTAGAAACTGAAATTGCACATAAAGCCCAAGGGGTTGGGGGTAAGAGCATCTTGCTTAGCAAGTTAGATCTACATTTTCCCTTGATGAATGCAAAACACACAATTCATATTTCTTTCATGGTTACAGAAATCCAGACCAAGCGTCAGGAAAGAAAGAGAAGAAGCACAGCAAATCCAGCCTACAGTGGACTATTGGAAACAGAGGTACTTTATTGTTCACTTTTTATTGCAGCTCCATTCCTTACCAATAAAAAGTTTAAGTGTTTCTTATTAGAAATGTACATATGAGCATGGAACCCCATTTACTTGAACAAGAGATTGATGGGGGGGAAAAACAGAATGGAAACATGCTTCATTCCAGTTTCTAGGCAACAGGTTTTCACATCACAACGTGACTTTGTTCTTCGATGCCAATAAAGTCTAAATGAATGTACAACTTAATTACTCTCTTACTGGTAGAGAATGGTCCCTCTAAATCGGAACTGAAGAACAGTGGTGGCAGAATGTTGAAACCGGCATAGCTGTTCCTCATGTCACACATATCAGGGAATAAATAGAGGTTTTTGTTTTTCAGATAAGTCAGTTTAGCCTGTTTTATGAGCACTGAAATTCATTAAAATGCCAACAGTCATGCTGGCAGTAAAGAACTCTGAAATAAAACTCTTGTGCACCTATACACGTGCAGTGAGGCTGCTCCAACACATTGTAATCAAATGTAACTATTAATCGAGTCTGTTGGAGTGTAGTAATTACTATACTGCAGCAGATTCCAGTGTCACGTGTATCAGCATCTCCACACTGAAAAATGGCGGTGGGGGTGCTTTAAGTAAAGCTTGTTTGACAAACTTTAGTAAAAGTGCCCCCACCACCATTTTTCAGCATGGGAATGCTGGACTGGATGCTGATACACATGATGCTCTGGGCATTTTAATTAGAGTGGCTTTTTACAGCTCTAATTAAAGCACCCCACCCCCACTCCCAGAGTACATGTATAAACTCCCTTATGGCTAAACTCTTTTCTTGTTTTATACCCCAGTTATTTTAAGTGGGGCTTCACAAGGATTAAAACCCTATGGACCTTGTCTAGCATTGGAATCAGAACTTAGGTATAAAAGGAGGTATATAAGTCAAGTGGTTGGAAAATAAGTTTTGATACAGCTGTTTCCATTTTCATCAAACAGTACCAGTTTCTTCAACTTTTAAACTATGAGACAAAGATGACTTCAGTGATTTTTTTTAATGGGAAAAAGGAAAAAAAATGTTTTTTGAGTCTCATTTCAATAGTATAAAATTGTTTTTAACTTTATCATGATTTTGTTTGCTTGGGAAAAGTAATTGCCATGTTACATTTGATTGTAAAATTCTAAATTAATCAAGTTTAGTGAAGTGAAAAGATATAGCATTACTGAAGAAAAATGTTTTGGTGGTTTTGAATTTAAATTTATAAATTTTAATTCCACCAAAATTTTTGAAATATTAGCTTTTTATTTTAATTCAGAATAAAAAAATTCAAAACTTTCCATTCCCTCAGAATGGAAATTACTGATTTGCAAGCAACTCTACATGGAAGAAACATTTCCTAGCTTCCTGTGCACGGTAAACTTAAGGCGAGTGACTTTCCTTAGCAAATTACCAGTGATGCAGAATTGTTGATTAACCAGCTTTCTGAAAATTCAAGTTACTTTGGTAGGGGAGAGGTAGTTGAAGTAAAAAGGGAACTAACTGGTTTGTAGAGAGGTAGATAGTTTGTTTAATGACATGACCATTTATTTGTAAGGAAGATTGACTTTGTGGGATACAACAACAGAAGAGAATTTAAAAAACCTGTTACAGTTTCTTAGGTGCGATGCAAACTTCCCTTATAACTTTGGACAAATCACTAAATCTGTTTCTGCCTCTATTACTCCATTTTACAAAGATATATTTTTCTCCTAATCTCACTGTCTACATAAACCATTAGATGGTGAGCTGTTCAGGGCAGGCACAGTTTCTGGCTAATACATATATTCAGCACACTTCGGACCACAGTCCTAGTTAGATTACATATGTGGTGTTTCTCCTCTGTTTTATGCAGCCAAATTATTTAAAAATTCTGTGGCAGTTTGGTAGTTCTAATGTTTAAAGTATTTTTGAGAAACTATTTGGAGAAACTGGTGGAGGTGGTAAATAGATTTGTCTTGCTGTAATTTACAGTTTTCATTAGACCTGTTCTCCAAAGTATATCTTACAATGATGAGTAGCATGCAGAAAGAGTCTTTCAGTTAGAGCTCATGTGGATGATCAGCTCTGTCCTCATTAAGTGCTGTCATTAAACACTGACCATAGGGAACGTCATTCAAATAAAATACAGGGAGATGGTTTTCCTCTGATCAATTAGCTGCTCAGATTGATTTGCTGATCAGTGAGTTCAGGTATTTTGTGGTGTTTTAGGCATTTTGGTTCAGTTTAATTTACGGCTGATATAGTGGATGATCTTTAATTCATGATTGTTTAAATTGAACTTGCATATAAATTACACTTTTTATTTGCTCCCCTCAACTGTAGGAGCAAAGAAACTGCTGTGCCGTTAACTTTCTTGACTATGAATATATAATTGTGATTTTAAATTAGACTTGTGTTTTTTAGTTAAATTCTCTACATAGCAGCTTTTATCTCTTTGTGCTGTTCAGAAATTGGTCCATTCTTCCACCCTAGGTAGTTTAGTTTTTAAAGATATGTTGGGATGGGTGGGGAAGAAGGCAGGGAGGGAGAAGAGGAAGGAAAGAGGATGTGTTTCAGGCTGGAAGTTTTTGAAGGAAAAATTCTATATGGAAAATTCATTAACAGAATTTCAATAACTAGTGTTGTCCTGAGAGCAGAACATCAGAGAGCAGCTTTCTCACCACCAAATCAATCTTGTATTAGCAAAATACCCTTCTAATTCTCCAGAAACAGTGAATAACATGTATTAGAGGAGTACAGTATACTTTACACTCTTACTGTTCAGTAATTGGGTGATTCAGAAGAGTAGTTATGTGGTATACAGACCTCCAGACTCTAGGCCTAGGGACAGAAGTTTCACATAAACCAGTTTTAAGTGATTAGCAACTGGTTTAAACCTGTAACAGAACAGAAGTTCAGTACACACAAACCAGTTTCAAAGTGGCCAAAACTGGATTAAGATTAACCTGATTGAATGTAGTATCAGACTTGACTTATTTGAGTAAAACTGGTTTATAGAACTTCTGTCCAAGACCCCTTCCTGGTTTAAGTTAAACCACAGTTCCCTAGCATGCTTTTCAGCCCTAAGCTGGGCTGTGCTGTCTGTAGGATTGGCCCTGCCCCTCTGCTTTCTGGCCGGAACAGAGGCAGGGGTGTGGCCAGAATGGCCCCCTAAGGCTAAGGGTGCAGGGAGAGGCTTTAGTCCCCTCTCCCTCCTCTCTCCCCCTGGGGACTGCAGCCAAGGTCTGCCTGGCCACAGTGGAGTAACCCCTGTCAGGGTACATGCCCCCTCGCTGCTACAGCAGCAGGGGCAGGGTCATGGCCAGAGCCAACTGGCTGGCATGGCTCCACCATTTGCCTGCCTCACTTGCAGCTGAGGCCGGGGCTGGGGTGCTGAGCTGGGCTGGCTCATGGGCACTTCTGAGGGCAGGTGCAGAGGGACCAGCCTGGACTGGGTGTGGGGGCAGGGCCTTTCCCAGCCAGCTGATGTTTGGGTTGGGGCTGTGGGAGCTGTGTGGCCAGATTGCTCCTGGCTCCCAACACCTAGTCTGGGCAGAGCTGTCATGGAGCCACAGCTGGCTGGGAACGGCCTGGTGGGATTGGCCCAGGCCGGGCCATGGTGTTATGGCTCTTCCCAGCTGGCTGTGGCTCTGTGACAGTCCAAGTCAGTGTGCACAGGTGGTGGTGGGCTGGACAGCGGCATGGAGGTGATACCACTGCAGCTGCGGGCAGGCACCTTGGCAGCTGGACTGGGCACACAGGACATCTTAATTGTGCTCACGGCTGCCTGAGATAGCTTGGAAGCACTGGCATGTCTGGAGCCTGGCAGCTGCTCACTGCAGGGGCTCATGTGGGTGGAAGGTGGCCAACAGCTGGAGCCAGATATCCGTGCACTGGGCAGAAGCCATCAGGCTGAAGCTTCCACCTGCCTGGAGCAGCATGGCCTGGCAGGAGCTGTATGTGAGGGGAGCAGAACAACCCTGCCAGCCCCAGCCTGTGCACAGCTTCCAGTGGGACTGTTCCCAGTGCAGCCCAGGACAGCTCCACCAGGCCCTTCCCAGCCAGCTGTGGCTCCATGACAGTCCCACACAGGCTGGGTGCAGGGAGCTGGGAGCCATCTAGGTGCACAGCTCCCATGGCCTCAGCCTGGGCTGGCCCCTCTCTGCCCATCCTCAGCAGTACCCGTGAGCTGGCCCAGTTCAGCCCTGTAGTCACAGGGCCAGCCCCAACCTTATCCCTGCAGCCACAGCCCGGCCCCAGTCTCAGCCCTGCAGCCCCAGCCTTGGCCCTGGGTGGATGGCAGGGCCATGCTGGCCAGCTCTGGACAGGCCCCCCACCACATGAGCGGCGAGCAGGGGGGAAAGCTGGGCAGACCCCAGCTGGGGTCCCCTGCCCATGCCTGACAGGGGAGACAGGCGAGTTTAATTCCCCTCCCTGACCCCCTTCATCTGTGGTGCTGCCCGTGCTGGTGTCTGGCAAGGGTTGCTTCCCCCCTCCCATTCCAGGCACACACCAGCTGGGGTCCCTGCAGGCCAAGGTGGGGATTTAAAATCCTCCCCAATCATACTTAGCAGCCTGTTGAAGGGCCATGTCCCCCAAGTCAGCTTTCCTCCAGCCTTGTGCCTGCTGCAGAAGGGAAGGGAGGGCTCACTGTAGTGTCCTCCCTGGCTTCTAGCTTGAGCCACTGTAGGCATGTGCCTGCATTTCCTGAATCAAAAGTGAATGCCTATTCACTTGCAAATCAGTTCAATCAACGCAGGTTAGACTAACCTACCAAGATTGAATCAATTCAGGCTTGGGCTTTTTGAATGTCTTTCTTTAGCCTAGATCACTGATTTGAATCCAGCCCTGTTTGCTAGTGACCAATAGTTGTTATCATATGAGCAACAAACTATGTGAAACTAGTTGATTATCTTAATTAGGTTTCTAATAGACAGGTTTATAGGTTAGGAATTCGCATTGACAACTTCAGGAAACTGAAATGCTTCTAAATCCTAAAGGTGGTGAACATTAACTTTTGGAAGAAAATATTTTACTAGAGCCCTAGTAGGCAGCCTGCAGACAAAATTTGCCTGTAGATAATTTTCAAGCCAGTAAAAATAATTTCTCTTCTGGTGAAAAGTCCATCACTATTTCTGTCAGCACTAATAAAAGTGGTATCTCACAGCCACAGTTTTATTTGCATTTTCCTTTTATGAAAGTTATTTGAATGCTGGGTTGTGGGGGGCTTTTTTGTACTGTTTCCTTGTACTACAGATCCCAGGAACTTCTCTGGAGGTCCAATCAATAAGATTTACGATTTGCATCTACCTCCTCTTAATAAAACCTAATGCACATAAAGCTGGTTTATGAAAAACGTGTTAGAAGGATAAATTATGTAGCTGTGTACACTCTAAATGACCAACTGAAGAGACTTAAGCAGTTGAATTCTAAATCATAGAATTAACTTGCGAGTACTTGATTATAGATATGGAAGAAGTTTCTTAGAGATTGTTGGCACAAAAGAGTGAGAGAAAAGAAAATGCTCTTCAACTGACAACATAGTCTCTTTTCTCTTTCTTTGCAGCGGAAACGCCTTGCATCAAATTATTTGAATAACCCCTTGTTCCTTTCTGCAAGAGGTAAGTATTTTTTTAAATGACTACACAGCAATTATGATATGGTGTTAAATATTTATTAGTGGTGTTTCTTATGAATTACTCCTAAAGCAGTACATAGTTCATAGCTGTACATGGGTCCCATCCCTTGGAGCATTCACAATAGATCATTACACTGCACAACAATTAAAGGATAAGGCCAGAAGTTCAAAAACATATTCAGCTTGATTTAGAGCCTTTGAAATCAATGGAAAGCCTGCAATTGTAGTTATTACAGAGTAATAAGATAGGTAGATGGAAGTGGATGTTAAGGGCAGGGTTGACTGGTGCCTCCTGAGTCTGGGGGGCATAATTTGTGGGTGGGCCCAGAGGCAGGCCAAAAACCCCATATCCACTCCTATACTTCTGTGCCACGGCTTAGTGCCCCCCCTCCCACCTCCCAACACGCCACTGGCCCACGCAGCAAAAAAACTGCCCCATCGTAAGCAGTGCCAAGCCAGGGGCCAGTCTCAGGGGGGGCACATGCACCCCCCTGGTGCCCTCCTACCAGTCACCTGCGGTTAAGGGGATGGTATTGCCTAACCCAAGTGCTCAAAAATATGATGTTAGTTAAAAAATGAGATTTAAAAAATAAAATAATAAAAATTCTGGTATTTTCATTTACTCTCTGTTTTCATCTTTAAGGGATCACATTTTCCAGTTTTGCTGTAGGAACTTTTCTTTTAAAAAGTTTAGCTGCAATTCATGCATAATCACTTAAGGACCTGAGGCTTTAAGTAGGACTCCTTCTTGAGCTGTGTTCCTAACCCTCCCCCCTGCACCCTCCAGTGTTACACAGCTCCATGATAAATGTCATGAGAGTTGATCCTTCAGATAATACATTTGGTGAAGAGAATTAAAGTTGCTTGTGAGAAGAAGCCTGTTTCAAACATAAGCAACACTGTGAGAAAAAGACATAGAGCTAAGGGTGGGAAAGAGGAACAAGGAGAGTGCCTGAGAGGACATATGGGGGAAGACAGACACAACAGAGCTGCACGAAAGTCTGAATGACAAGATGAGATATTTGATTACTTTGCAGAAGAGGAAGGGAAGCTAGTGACAGAGTTTGAATAGCTCTGCACTTGATACAGTCTCTGTGACTTAGTCGGTGGTAATGCACACAGTGGTGCTTCAGATATAGGTGATGGTAGAAACATTCTTCATTTTTCAACAGGAAATTTTTCTGCCAAGCACTAGAAGGAACTAAGTGTTGTTTCATTAAACTTGTAAAGTTGTATTTGCTGTCTCTTCATGCAGCTTACAACTGCAGTCTCCTTATTCATCTTATACTAACCTAAATGCATTTTTCTTTATAATTTGCATTATCAGAGGACTGTGTTTCCCTATAAATCCCTGGCTGTTTTTCTGTTAGTTTTTCAGTGAATTCTCTTCATGCTGCCTCCCTTTTCTCTCTGTCTCTATAGTTTTATTTGGAAGGGGAGTAGACAGATGACAAACCATTAGTGGAGCGACTGTCATAAGGCTGTTTGGGATCAGTCCTTTTTTTACCTTAAATCTTAGCTGTTTGTTTAGGAGTCCTACAGCCACTTCAATAACATGCACAATCCTTGTTGTAGTCCCTCCCCATGTCACTCTGTGGTGGTGGTTGATTATTTAGTTGTGCAGTGGTAGTTCCTATGAGCCACTATCAAATGCTAGGATCTTAGGCTAGGTACAGACATTCAAAAAGTTAAAAGCAGAATGGGTTTAAGTTACACAGTTTTCTGTGCCCTTTGTGCGGATGAGGTGACTGGGTTCCACCATTTTTAAAGCAGTCTATGTGCACCAGACTTCTGTTCTATTACAGATATAAACCAGTTTGTGTGCCAAACTTCTGTTTTGTTATTGGTATAGATCAGTTTCTGATCACTTATACCAGTAAAAGTGAAATGTCTGTACCTACCCTTAGGGTGTTAGGACCTTAGCATATTAGGCCCTGCAATTATAACCCAAAGATGGTTCCTGTCCCAAACTGTTCAGTCTGACTAATCTGTCAGTCCTCACTGCATAGTTCACTGCCCCATTTATCATTGTATAACCCTTCTTTTACATCATTAGATTAGATTAGATCTAATAGCAAGCATACACAGAAGAGAAAATCAAGCATTGAATGTAGTTGAAAGTATGACAATCAAAGTGAACTGAAAAGGGAATTTTAAGAAATCTGTTTTTTAAAGAAAGCATGAAGAAGCATCATTTAGAAACAAAATATATAGAAGATATTTTTTGTGATATTGTCTATAAAATGCCAATTCAGACTTCATTGATTGGAAAATATCTCAGCTGAAATGAGGTTGCCTTCTCTGATGTCCATCACTTATATAAAATACTCCTCAAATACCCAATAAATAACTTGTGCTATTAATTCAGTCTGAATGATTTGTGCATGGTGGGGTATGTATCTGTATATATACATGACATACAGAGATGGAAAAAGTGTACTCAATGAAAGTGGATGTGTAATGTAAAAACATAGATACATATTATTTGTGGAAAATATTATATAAGTGAGATATGATAAATGATCCAGTTCTGGTCATCATGCATGTATAGGCACATGTCAGATAATATGTCATTTGAATAAGAACTTAAGGAACCAAAGAAAGATGTTTCTATCTCCTTGAACCTAAGGCACTATTGATAGCAGAGATGTTATGATCATTTAGAGCCTAATTCTTCCAAGTGCTGAACGCTTTGGCCACAAATCACTTAGGCATTTAAACAGATGCTTAACTTAGCAGTCCTGATTGTATACTCCTAGTTGTATACACATGCGTAAGTGCTCTGTTGGATCAGGGCCAAAATGTTTAGTGCCAAGCAAGTTCAAGCTCTTAAAGACTTTCCTAACAAATACAGTATGGGCATTTCTTGTCAATACAAATTGTCTTTATGATACTATGGTATTTTAGCATTTTCAGCATTTAGATTTTAGGTGCATAATTCTTGAAATCAGAGGAACAGTCATACAACCATGAGTACAAAAATGTGCTCTGTAGCTGCTATGTCACTCTTCCCTGTGGATGTTAAACTAGTTTTTGCTATGACCCCACCTTTCATCTTCACTTGTACCTCAGCTTAACTAAAATGACTCCACAGCTGAGAATTGACATTGCTACACTGATGTGTTCCCCACTAATCTGTTCTCTGCCCTTCTTTCATATGCTAGCAAATGAGGATCCATGTTGGAAGGTATGTTCAGGAAGATTTGTACTTTACTTGTCTCTGTGACATCCTGGTGTAGTACAGTGTTTCCTGTTAATTACTGTAGTCTCTGCCAAGGTATAACATTGAAATATGGTTTCCTTTTTCCTACTCCATTTCTTGAATGTTTCCAACTTAGGTAGATCTTTGAGCCATTAAAATAGAATTATGGAAAGATGAACACACATTCTCTCATGAGTGTAATACCTTTGTGGAATCTACCAATTGAAAAAATATGGCTCGGGGTTCAATACTGACAAGTGCAAAGTATTGCACCTGGGGAGGAAGAACCAGCATCATACCTACAGGCTGGGGAACTCCCTTCTC